CCTCCCCCAACTTCCCACAGTTAATTACTTTTAAGCGGCACTTCAGAAGGAAAGCAAACAAGTGAGTCAACGATCAAGAATTCATCGGTGGTATCAAAGGAATCACTGCATTATGATTAAACATGCATTCTGAAAGCATTATTTACCAATCAAAAAAATAAATATGAAATGAATCGATGAAATTCGATTTGCCAACAACCTATGCAATTCAATTTCTCCTCAGTTTATCTCTCTCTAATCCAAAAGAAAATAGATCAAGAAAATGATTAAGGTTAATTGAACATGTTCCTTAACACGCATTAAAAATATCCAAACGAATGGAATATATGAAATCGGAATTCGACAGTAACAATGAACGCGAACAACAAATCATATTGAGATATAACAACAACAACAACAGCTTAATAAGGATGCAAACAAGAAATGAGAGATGAAATTTACAGAATGAATAACATAAACGAACAATGGGAATTAATCGATCATAACCTTAAATTAAGGAAAAACTAAACAAAGTCAATATATTGCATATGCAAATAAACCATTAAAAATGATTTTTCAGTTTTCAGTTTGAACCATTGATTTCACGACAATTCAAACATTACAGCGGATAATAGCGCCTGTAAACTTGCATGAAACTCATTCCATAGTATGTTGAGACATTGTACTTTTCGAAACTCTACTCATAACTATTTCATCAAGATCAGCGAAAAAACGCCTTCAACGAATGTTTTTGCACTAGTTTCTCTCACTTGAGTGCACTTGAATTTCATCTTGATCGTTCACATCGATGCAACTAAATCGATGTACTGAAAATGTTTATCACTTATTTTGCAAGATTACTCGTCAAATTAATCGCTATTTAGCTTATTCCATGTCCATCATAACACCACAAATCTGGAACTTATTTCATCCGGTTTTGTTGCGTGATGGTTTGTTCCTTTTGATCTCGAGAAATGATTTATATAACTAGTAAATATGAGGAATAAATAAACAATTAAAATGCATCATTTCCTCCTAAAAAAACTGCCTACTCATTTAATTCACATCAGACACGATGAAATGATTTAAATACACATTACTGTTGTCGAATGTCGATGAATAATATTAGAAATAGCGATGACATATCAAAAATATCCGCAAGACATAGCCAACTAATCACCACAATTCTCGAATGATGACAAAAGGAAGTTCTTGAATGCTCCATCGACCCTTGCTTCAGTGGTGTTGTTCTGCATCGAATTCGCCATTTGACTGTCCGTCATTGCCATCTCCATCTTCCTCTTCTTCAAACTTATCATGCTTCCAAACGCCATCTGATTCACTACGTCCCCGATATGATGAAGATTGCCCATTTTTGTTGCTTGATGAATCACGCCAATTCGACGATGAAGTTGCAGACGAATAATTACGATCACCTCCTCCATATTCCCGAACCTGTTGTTCATTGAATATTTCTTGCACTTAACTCATCTTTCCAATTGCTTTATTTCAGTCAACAAAATTCCAACGCCACCGAAATAATCCAATAAAAAACAACACTTCATTACCAATATTTACACATATAAATGATCACCTGCGCAGTATTTCGCCATCCAACTGGTGCTCGATCGTCGTACCTTCGCTGACGAACACTGCCACCATCTGAATATCGCATACCACCACGAGGACGCATCACTTTGTTCGTACGATCATCATGCTCAAACGAACGACTGATGAATTTTTATACGCTATTAAATTTAAACTATTGGTTTTTGACGTTAGATATTCTCCGTCTTCCACTCTTCAAACAATCCTTACAACAAGCATGTATTATATTCTCATTTGAATTATAGCAGAATGTTTTCGTCAACATTCATCAGATGTTGACATAATTTACGGTTGCTGCAAGCAGATAATCAACTTGATCGCAACTTTGGTTATGAACAATACTAAGAAAGCTGCAGTATCATTTCATATCTCGAGAATGNGATGCGAATAGCTTACCGTGAAATACGACTTGCCAGTTGGTACTTTGCAAGGGTCAAACAAGTTCATTACAGGCTTCTGTGGATCATCAGTTTGTGAAGTTCGCTTCAGTTCTTCAGATTCCATCGTATCGCGTTTGTTTCTATCTTCAAACAGATTAACGTTTCGTTCAAGTGATTCGAATAATATGACATGCTGAATGATATTTGCATATCTGAATTTAGGTCGTTTACAATCAAACGCGTTCATAACTTTAATGAACGCACAAACTCGAATACGAACTCACTAAAATGGAATCTCATAACAACGTTGCTAACCGAAGGTGTATCGACCATCTGCAGCGTCACGAACTCCGGCGAAACGTCGTGGTACGAAACCCGGAGCGCGACGGAAAATATCTCTTCTGGAAATATTATTAATTGATGATGATCAATCGATCGATACATGTACATGCTATATGTTTATCACGACAATCAATCACTGATAACGATCATCCATTGATAATTATATTAATGTTCCCAAAAGGAAGCACGGCCAAGTACTTCATGCACGGACGGATGGCAATTAAGGCGCACCGCGAATCAGAATGAATGATCATTATAAAGATCACTGACTGACCATAACGATAAATACTTGAAACCTTTCTTCTGCCCCACTTACCCTTGACGAGCAGCAAGTGCATATCCTCTGCAAACAGATATATTTCAAATAGTCAACAATGAAGATAAGTTCCTCTCTTGAACTCACCAAACAGTGATTATAAAGCAACAATCGATGAATTCCATTCACTTATTGTCGAAAATTTAAATCGTAGTGAATATCAATGGAAACTTCAATATACTTCATGACAAAGCATAGTAAAACGAACGGCAAGGGAAGCAAGTGTTGTAAACATATGAATATTTCCTTTTATGAAATGAAAATACTACATTTCAATACTAACAGTCATCACCGAGAAATGATTACCAGCAATAATCGACTATTTATTTTGTTTCTCCTGAGTCTAAACGCAAAAAACACTCACCCAAACATCGGTCTATCGAAACGACCACCGGGCGCCATCCTACCACCCCGAGAACCTCCATTCTGTTGGAATCGCTGAAATTCTACTTGGTGAAAGTTATACAACGAAATAATTCATCTCTTTTCCAAAATAGATATATCATCTTATTTGGACAACATCTAACTCTAAACACCTCGATAAAATTCAGTAGTCTGTCATAATTCATCAGTTCATTCCACGAGAACCAAAAACGTCCACAAATTCTTCCCACACACTCCACTAAGGATTCATTTTCGTCTCATAATTGAACAAAAAAATCTTCCATATTTTTTATGGTAGTAAGAGTATGAAATAAGATCAATTTAATAATTAGAATCATTTAATACTGATGATAAGATGGTAAATTATATGGAGAAATTTAAAGTTGGATCAAAACTGGTTGATTAACGATAGACAAACTTACAAATGATGACGACGACTTAGTATCGCGCTGATCGCCTGCAATTTGTGATACAAATTTAAGATGAAATCAATCTTTTAATATGTAAAACAGAATGTTCCAAGAATAGATTTCATCCTGACAACAAATAACAAATACAAACCTGACTGAGAATTGTGATCCTTTTTAATGTCCATACTCATTGCGTCCAATTCATTGACGGGTGCGGGTTTTTTACGGATCGGTGAGTTGGCGAGCGCATTTGAAGAGGTTGTTCGCGGCTTTGACTGGAATGGAATTGATCGTCGATCCATGCCGAATGAGAACCTCTTCGTTGACTTGAGAGGAATCGCATTACGCCACGGGCTATGACTACGACTACGTGAACGACGTTTATGATTCGATTTTGATTCTGATTCAGAATGCACGCGTGAGTCTGAAATCATGGCGTCCACAACGACTCATTCGAAATTTTCTTTTTGCGATACGCACTTTTGAAAACATGAATAAACTGTTGATTGAATACGATTAAATCTCCTCATTCACAGAGTTTATAAACTCTAATTTTAGTAATTATGACGTCACATTCAATTAAAACAAAGATAACGAATGTTCCATCACAATGCGAATAACTCAATGGAACGATTATCGGCACTTCGAATACCGACAAACCATAACCAAAAATAAGATTACTTACGTCTCGACTTCGAGCTGGTACTGGTGTGATGCTCACGACGATGTGATGAAGAAATTGTTGGCGACTGGTGTCTGGATGAGGATGATGCTGAATTACGACGACTTCTTCTCGAACTCATTTTCTGAATTTGATTTATTACGAAATAATTGATAGGTCACGAATGCGAATTACGGGCAAACTCATCTCAAAACATGCTCGAATAAAGTCCTTAGGCACAAATGACCACATTAAGCATTTGGGAACAAGTTGAGACAGAAAGCGATAAAGTGGCCACTGAATAGGGCATCGCTGAGGTGTACCATGAATAAAGAGGCGTAAGAATTATTCGTGCGCAATTGCTTTTTCAGGAAGAC